TCAGGCCTAGTTTGGTGGTGTCAAATTTGCAAATTAATTCCAGTTCTGCAGTTTCCCATTGAAGTCTGTTTTTGAAGTTTTTTTTGTTGAAGAATGGCGACTTTTAAGTCTGTTATTGAGTGTCCAGGGAGATCAATGTGCTCTTCTACTGGTTTTTGAATATTACAGTTCTTGACATCGGATTTGTGTCCATTTATATGCAGGCTACAGGTACTTGGTGGTTAGCTGTCTGTGGTTTTAGTAAAATGTCTTCAGCCATGCAGCTTCAAGCTGATTTCAACCTAAGAAGCACTGGAACAGTTCAGAACTGAGACTGGAGATCTCCAGGTGCTGTAAGAAGTGACCTAAGTGCAGGTTGTATTTTTCCCACTGAGTTAGAAATGGGATAATCCAACACATATTTGTGCATACCAGTTATTTGAATCAGCAGGTGGTTTAACCCTGTTTATTTGCAAACATTTAGATGAATGTTCCCAAGCACAGCCCTCAGGCACTGTTCTCAATTATGTTCATGGAAACAAAATCATCGTGAATGCTAGTACAAATTTCTTACAAGTATCGACCCAAAAAGCAATCATGGTACTTGGAAAAGAATTGTTTTATTACAAAAAACCCATATAAGATTAATTGAACAGTTACAAATAGAGAACACATAAAAGCCACAATCTATTCCTGGATAATTTATGGACAGAGAAAGAATTCCTCCAGTTTAAAACCAGAATCTGATCAGAATGGCACTACAATTGCTCTCCATGTAACTCATATCGCTAAACTCATTTCCTATTTTCCCCCTCAAACTCACTGGCATTCATGTGGTATGGCACACAACTGCTAAGTCCCCTTGTTACAGATTAATTATAAGGCATCTCAGTCCTGCAGTGAAAGATTTTACTGTATATTTTAGTGATTTTTGCCATTCTATTTTATTTTTGTAGTAATATATTAGCACAAAGGGCTTGATGGTATGTAGTAAATTAAATTCAAATGGTCATTGCTGGGGAGTGTTATAAAAAGGCAAAAACAAGCTGAGCAATCATCTTCACTCTATGTGGGTCTTAACAAAAATTTCATGAAGAATTTATGGCTGTTGCATAACTCAGCCACCCATCTTCTGAGCTGGATGAGCAGAAGGCATATGATACTGTCTCTGCACAAGTTGCATTGGTTCTCTGCTTACTACTAGATCCAAGTCAAATTTCAGGTACTCATCTACTAAGCCCTCAATGGAATAGGACCAGATATCTCAAAGATTGCCTCTCTTTCTAATACTGATGATCATTTGGTGGACTCTGATTAATGGAAACCAGGTTTGAACTCCAGGGAGTTGGCAGATGAGCCTTCTCAACAGCTAGCCTAAAGCCAAAGGAGAACTCTCCCAAAAGATATCAATGAGAGTTCTATACAACCAACATCTTCAGAAAATGCTGTGCTAGTCTATTTTATGCACTTGTTGTTCAGTGTCAACAATAATGTGCTTCACAGAAAAACAAGATAAAGTCCCAGCTCTTCAAAACATTCATGAACCAACTGAAGTAGAAGAAAAATGTTGTAGCACACTCCAAAACAGAAGCCAATGATTAACCAAAGAACAGAATGCAAAATTGCCTGTCACTTCTAACCTAATCATACTGAATTCTGTAACTCATGTACAGCACCTTGATACCATGACAACAAGCTCTTTGGAAATGCTTATAGATCTAATACATTTTTGTACAGAATTTACACTATAGATGGGAATGTGAGACTCCTTTAATTCATACTATAGCTATTTGTAAATCAGGCAAAAACACTGGTTCAGACCCTACTGTGACAAAGTTCCTCCTCTACCTTGGTGGGTCTTGCACTTATTGGCGGATTTGCTCGCCTTGAAGCTCCATGGTAGCCCTCAGTTTGGCCGTTTTTGTGAACCCACAGTCCAGGTCAACTCCTCCTATGTCTGACCAGGAGTTGGGAGGTTTGGGAGGAACCCGGGCCCGCCCTCTACTCCGGGTTCCAGCCCAGGGCCCTGTCTAGAGTGTCTCCTGGAACAGCTGTACGACAGCTACAACTCCCTGGGCTACTTACCCATGGCCTCCTCCCAACCCCTTCTTTATCCTCACCATAGGACCTTCCTCCTGGTGTCTGATAATGCTTGTACTCCTCAGTCCTCCAACAGTATGCGTTCTCACTCTCAGCTTCTAGTGCCTCTTGCTCCCAGCTTCTTATACATGCACCACAAACTGAAGTGAGCTCCTTTTTTAAACCCAGGTGCCCTGATTAGCCTGCCTTAATTGATTCTAGCAGCTTCTTGATTGGCTGCAGGTGTTTTAATCCACCTGTCTGTCTTGTCTCCAGAAGGATCCTGATTGTTCTGGAACCTTCCCTGTTACCTTACCCAGGGAAAAGGGACCTACTTAACCTGGGGCTAATATATCTGCCTTCTATTACTCTCCTGTAGCCATCTGGCCCAACTCTGTCACACTACCTTGCTTGCATATCTGGAATTCCCAGGGCAATCAACAGGACTTCCAGCTGAAGTTAACCAGAATTTTGAATGCACAAAAAAATACAGGAACAGGACCATAAATTACATTTTCAGCCATGGCAGCTCTTGATACTTCTTCTAGAAGTACTAATAAAGAAGAAAATACCAGCTGGAAGAACAGCTATTAGATTATTATTTATGTAAAGTATTTTGGAGAAGGATCTTTTTGTTCTGTTTGTAAAGTTCCAGCACTATGGAGGACAGGTCCATTACTGGGGCTTCCAGGTGCTACCACAATACACACACACACTCTATGAGCATTTAGGCAGACTTTCCCTCCAGCCCTAGAAACCCTGATGGGAAAGCCCCTTTGGTGATTGTACAGCACACTCACTCACAGTACCTTTGCCAAGTATCTTTACTATTATTATTTCTTACCTTAAGTTCCAGGTACAATGCAGCATGGTGACAGGGATCCTTCCTGCTCAGTCTTTTATTTAGCTTGTTTTCTTCTGCAGCCTATCCAGCAAGTGAGCTAATTAGCTCATTAGAGTCCCCACAAGTGCAAGTGATCCCCTCTAAGGGTACGTCTACACAGGGATAAAAGACCTGTGGGCCAGGCTGGGTTAGATCAGCTGACTCAGACTCATTGCAGTGTAGATGTCTGGGCTCAGGTGGGACCCCAAGCTCTGGGACCCTCCATCTTTACAGGGTCCCAGAGCTCAGGGTTCTGTCTGAACCCAATTTTTCAACCCTGGAGTTTGAGCCCCATGAGATTGAATCAGCTGATCTGGGCTAATCACAGTTTTGTTTTGAACCCTATGTAGATCTGACCTTCCCAACTCAATCACACTACTTAATACCTTCCTACTCTAACTATACCCAGTGTCCTGTGTGTTCTAAGTGACCAGGGTGCTGGCTCCCAAAAGGAACTCTATTTATAACTGCTCACAGCACCCTGTCACAGTCCAAAATTAAAGAAATAGCAAACGCACATATAGGAAAAGCATTCCGAGATATCTTTTTACAAATTATTTTATTCTGAGAAAATTACGTTCACCCATCAAATGTTCAAATTTCAAAAAGTATCCAACGTCTAGAGAATACAGAAATTGTTGCTGATGTAAATTCTAGTAGCCCTTCTGTTCTGTCAGGCATACACGGAGGATTGAGAGGAATGGGGTTGCTCTTGCTTCTGGAAAGGGTGGAGTATTTTTTGTTCAAATGCGATTGTCTGGTTGGGGATTGATTTGTTAGATAGATCCAGGCTGGCTTAGACCAGCATTGTCATTATAGTTGTTTTGCACAGGATACATATTTTACATTCTGTCCCAGTACTTAAATCTTGACGGACAGACACTTTCAGGCAAATTAAATAAATGAGTGTTCATAAAAGATAAGGAGTACTTGTGGCACCTTAGAGACTAACCAATTTATTTGAGCATGAGCTTTCGTGAGCTACAGCTCACTTCATCAGATGTATACCGTGGAAACTGCGGCAGACTTTATATATACACAGAGAATATGAAACAATACCTCCTCCCACCCCACTGTCCTGCTGGTAACAGCTTATCTAAAGTGATCATCAGGTGGGCCATTTCCAGCACAAATCCAGGTTTTCTCACCCTCCACCCCCCCACACAAATTCACTCTCCTGCTACCAGCAGGAGGTGGGGTGGGAGGAGGTATTGTTTCATATTCTCTGTGTATATATAAAGTCTGCCGCAGTTTCCACGGTATACATCTGATGAAGTGAGCTGTAGCTCACGAAAGCTCATGCTCAAATAAATTGGTTAGTCTCTAAGGTGCCACAAGTACTCCTTTTCTTTTTGCGAATACAGACTAACATGGCTGTTACTCTGAAACCTGTCATAAAAGATATGAGTTTAATTAAAATGGGCAAGATTCACCCTGATGTAGATAGAGCTCAATAACAGTTGTACCAGAATAACTCCCTATGTGTCAAGTATCAGAGGGGTAGCCGTGTTAGTCTGGATCTGTAAAAGCAGCAAAGAGTCCTGTGGCACCTTATAGACTAACAGACATAGTGGAGCATAAGCTTTCATGTGTGAATACACTCTTATTCTGGAATAGAATTGCCTTCTTCAGATTTAGCTTAATCCACTTTCAAAGTCCACTTTCAGTCACCAAATGCTTATTCTAAAATAAGTGTCCACATGAGAAATTATTCCAGAGTATTAATTCTGAAATAGCTATATCAGTAAATTTCCAAGTGTAAACAAGCCCTAAGAATGATTTCTTTAACATTATTTTGCAGTTTCATCAAAGCAAATAAAACAAGAGTCAATAGCACACTACCATACCAAACAAGTGAATAACATTTGATTAATTAAACACATTGCCTTATAAACAATGCAGCATATAGGTTTATCATTGAATGGAATAGTGTAAACATTATGTTAAAGAAGTTCTGTTGTTCTGTTCTGTTCAAGGACTCCCTCTCGGTGGGTGGGTGTATGTGTATGTTTGCATGCACCAGGCTAGGGAGGGGCATAGCCTGGGGTAGCCACTCCTATGCTATTGATAATACATTCATGCTCCATACACCCGTCTAACAGAGACTAATCCTACATGCAGACTCACACACTTTTCTAGTAGACTACTCCACCTCACACAGTGCACGGTAAGTTTAACCAAAGAAGGAAAACGGGATCTGATTTTGTGAGGAATAGTTTTGTTTTGAGATGTGTTTGTTAGTGAATTCTGGCCACACATTCTCTCTGATGCTGTAATTAGAAAGATTTGTTTTCCCATCATGTTGCCAGTGGCCTTGTATCCATATTTACAAACATCTTTCTGATAAGACTTCGACACTTAACTAATTTAGAGAATTTATTTTGCACTGGGGAATACAGCAAAGAGAAGCTTAGAATGCAGTGAAGAGGTTGTTAAGTTGCTTTAGCCATGTAAGAAAATGAGAGATCATAAAACTTGAAAACAATATTGTAGAGAAAAACCTTTGTCTACCATTGATGGTGTTCTAAGAACCAATCTGCATAGCATAATCTGTCAAAGCAAACACAAAGCAGAGTTTTGTTACTGCAAATGATGGCATTGTCTATCTTCAGTATATCGATTTCCAGTTTGTGTAATAAAACCACAAGTGAATACCTCAGGAACAGAAACTGTTTGTCCTAAAACCACACATCTGTGGAGAGTGCAGAGATGCGGTGCCTTCTGTAATTAACAGTGCCAATTTCTGAATGACCCTTTCTGGCAAAGACTAAGAGCAGCACATCCCTGGGTCTTATATTTGATTAGGATTTAGGGAGCACTAATGAATTAATGTTCGCAGAGAGATTTGAAGTAAACAGCTACATTCATGACAAGTATTAATGTCTATTATTACCGAAGGCGCTGCCTCAGCAACCTTTCAGATACGCTTTATAAAGGCGATATAAATGCTTCAGAGGTAATAACAACGACCAAACAAATAGTTATGAATGACTGATCCAGCGGGGCATGCCCAATGCTGATGTGCGTGTGCTTGATGAGAGATGCATATTAATACCAATTAGCCACGCCTGTGGCTGTGTCGCTGTGCTGCATGCCCCCTGCTAAGTGTGCGCCCTGTCTGTCTCTCTAGGGCTCTGGGGATGCCGAGGGCCCCTCGCTCCTTCGCCGGGACTCTCCATCCCTGCTGCACTTGCAGGACAAAAGGCAGCCAGCAGCTCCACTGACCTAATGAGATGAGGGTCTCCCGGGCCGTTCCACTGAGCCTCCTGCTCCTGGGCTGCCTAGGGGGCGCCGCCAGCGGGCAGGCCCGAGGGGCCGGTGAGAAAGCGGAGCGCCCCGCGCCCTGGGCGCAGTCCGGGCAGTTCTCTACCCGGGAGCAGCGTGTGTGCAGCTGGCAGCTGGTCCGAGGGGAGGAGGCCACCGAGCTGCAGCTGAGTTGCCAGGCGCCTGGAGAGGGCGGCAGCGAGGGGCTCCGGTGCGTGTACCGGGGCCAGCCGGAGCGCTGCGCCGCCTACAGCGCCAAGAGCCGCCAGTACTGGAAGCAGATCCTGGGCAAGCTGCGCCGGAAGCGCCACCCCTGCCAGGACAGCAGCCCGCTCAAAGCCCGGCTCTGCAGCAGCAAGAAGGGGCCGCCCGAGGCGCACCTGCGCCTGGCACCCCCCAGCCCCAGCCCTGCAGCGCCTGCGGCCGCCGGGGGCCCCGCCAGAGGCCGAGCCAAGGGCCAGGGCAGCGCCCAGGAGGCGGCTACGCTGCAGCAGCCGGGGGCCCCCAGCGCCAAGGCGATGAGCAGCGGGGCACACGCTGGTGCCCTGGAGAAGCGGGGCAAGGCGGGCAAGAGGAAAGGGGGTCCCGGCTCCCCGGTGCCCCCCGAGCAGCGGCAGCCCACGGCTGGGGGGAACACGGAGCCGCCCACGGAGCTGAGCGAGGACCTGGCCGAGACCTACTGTGCGGAGCAGTGGCACTCGCTCTGCAGCTTCTTCCTGAACTTCTGGAACGGCTGAGGGGACAGGGCGGTGGCGGGGGAGACGGGCGGGGTGGGGGGAAGGGTCGCACCCAGGCGGGCAGTCGGGTGGGGGGGGTAGAGCTGGGGGTAGGAGCGTGCAGCCATGGGACACCCGGGTGGGGGGGAAGGGTATAACTTACTCATTGGTACTAACCCTGCAGCCGCTGCTCGCCCCGGGGCGGGGGGGAAGCTGTGGCCAGGCCTTTGCACGGCGGGTTATTGGCTAACATGACTGATCAGTCCCTCCTTCCATACTAAACAGGCACCAAGCCGTGTGTAGTCTGCGCTCTATTTCAGCGATTTCTGCTCTAGGGGTGACGTGTTGTTAAACCCCTCGGAGATTTTCGGTATTGTCACGTTTACTCGCTGGGAAAGGGCTTCCCCTTGTTCACCAGGAGCAAACATGTGCTAGGGAGTTGTATTGCAGAAGATGTGTGCAACATTAATAAAGGTGCAACTCTTGTACAGCAATGTGTGTGTGTGTGTGACCCCTGACTTGCCAGAACCTGCTTGTGGCTGTGATGCTACAAGGGAGCCCAACCAAGGAGTTGAGGAAGCAGTGCCTTACCTTAACTAACAGTTAACAGGATTGCCTGAAGGTGGATAAGGGCCAGGAGATCCTGAAAGACTTCCCGAGGTGGCAGGACCCCTACACAGCACTGGGGCAACAGTGAAATTATACCCCTTTGAGTATATTGTGCAAACCTTTCATCCTACTGAAGCCAGCCATTCATACAAGACTTAGTTTATTTTCTAGTCTATTGTGAAAAGCTCCAGAGAAACAACAGTCAATATTTATGTGGCTAAATAGCTGTCACCAGAAGCTATTGCTTTCTCTGTTCCTTGGATTCTGGAGCTGCTGAGAAACACTGAAGAGGACCTACTTTCTCTAGGTGCCCTGGGAATATGCTCTCTCTTTTCCTCCACCCATGCAAATGAAACATTTTTCAATTAATATACATTAAAATATGCTATTGAGTCACACAATTTAGGTAAAAACAACAAGGAGTCCGGTGGCACCTTAAAGAGTCACAGATTTATCTACCCAGATAAATCTGTTTGTTAGGCTTTAAGGTGCCACCGGACTCTATTATTTTTGTGAATACAGACTAATATGGCTACCCTCCTGATACTTGACAATTTAGGTACTTTTTTCTTAGCTTATTTAACTCTCTTTATCTGGCTGGTATTCTTTTCAAGGTGACATCCCCCCCCCCTTCACTCTCACCTTTTCATAGCACTTCTGCAGCACCATTTGCATCAGTTTTCAGAAAATAAAGTGAAACAGTTGTCTCTGTTGATCCAGCCTGCACCTGCTTTTCCTCAGGAAAGTGTCAGTTATTACACTTTACTTACTTATGGCTTCACTTATATTTAGTCTCATATTCATATTATTTCCTACTGTGTGTGATTGTATGGTTGCTATGGGGCCCAGCCATGGAAATCCTCAACCATGTAACTAGCCTTTCCTCAGTACCTTAATGGGACTGCTTGCAAGAAGAAGAAAAAAAAGAGAGGGGTTGTTGAGTCAGGTCCACACACTAGTTATGCTGAATTTTGTAAATATAAATGTAGGGCCCAAGCCTACAGCTGCTTATGCACATGAATGATCCCACTGAATTGAAAGTTACTCATGTACATGTAGATGTAGTTTTAATTCATATTAATTGCCTCTCTTCTCATTTCAAAAAGTGTGGCAATTTTTTTTTTTTAATCAAAGATCTGTACTTATAATAGCAAAGTGCTATGTTCTGGCTTGAATAGGATCATCAAAAAGAGCAGCAATGTAAACAAAATGTTGATCTTATTATAGAAACCATCAATGGAAAACCAGAATTGCTACATACTGTGACAAAGTTCCTCCTCTACCTTGGTAGGTCCTGAGCTTATTGGGGGATTTGCTTGCCTCAGAGATTCACAAAAGCCCTCAGTTTGGACACTTTCATGGCTCAAATCAGCTGTTCACTCAGATAACCTCATCACTGGCCAGCAAGGGGAAAAGGAGAAGAACAACCCAGGCAGTCTCTGCTGATCCACCATGTGGGTCAGGGAACAGCCCAAAGACCTTCCCCCCAGGTGGAACCCACAGTCCAGTTCAACTCCTCCTGTGTATGATCAGGAGTTGGGAGGTTTGGAGGGAACCCAGGCCTGCCCTCTACTCCAGGTTTCAGCCCAGGGCCCAGTGGATTGTAACTGTCTAGAGTGCCTCCTGGAACAGCTGCGTGACAGCTACAACTCCTTGGGCTACTTCCCCAAGGCCTCCTCCCAACACTTACTTTATCCTCACCACAGGATCTTCCTTCCTCCTGGTCTCTGATAACACTTGTACTCAGTCCTCCAGCAGCACATCCTCTCATTCCCAGCTCCTTACATGCTTCTCCCTAACTGAAGTGAGGTCCTTTTTAAACCCAGGTGCCCTGATTAGCCAACCTGTCCTAATTGATTCTAGCAGCTTCTTAATTGGCTCCAGGTGTCCCAATTAGCCTGCCTCCCTTAACTGGTTCCAGCAAGTTCCTGCTTGTTCTGGAACTGCCCCTGCCATCTTATCCAGGGGAAAGGGATCTACTTAATCTGGGACTAATATATTAGTTGGGGCTAACATATCATGGTGTGATTTAGCCCCCTGTAATCCTTGTGTTCCTGATTTACTGCTGCATTTCTATTGGGTTTCATTTCCCCTACCTTCAACTTTAGCTGGACTACAGAGTTAAGTTTATGAAATAAAACAAGCTAACCCCCCCCCCCCCCCCCCCCCACACACACACACAAATCACTCGTTACAGTTTTGGTTGCACTTTCCTCCTCACCTTTTTTATGCACTCCCTATCCGTGGCCCCACAAAGTCACGGGAGCTCCTGGTCAACCTCCTCCCAGCCCTGGCTAAAATGGCCATCTATAAAACCAGGGTGAGGAGGTTGGCCGATGGAGCCTGCTGTGACTGTGGGGCCTATTTCCGATCCTCTGTCCATTCATGTATCTGGGCAGAGTTCCTCTGTGCGGCATCCTTGACGCCTTTGAGGAGCATTGGGTGCTGTCCGGGGTTCTCTGCTCGGTGTCCCTGTCCAGTTCCCTTTGTTTGACCCTTTGACCACACTCCTGTCCCTGTTATTTCATTAGTTGTCCCCTGTACTCACATTTGGTTTCCAGGTCCTGTGGATCCCCCTTTTAGGCTGGGGGGGGGGGGGGGGGGGGAGAATCCTTTAGCTTCCGCCCTCCCACGTTTTGGATTCCAATAGGACTACTTGTTGTACCCAACTGGCCTGGGTCTATCACAATGCATAGACACAGTTATGAAGTGAAATTGTAAAAATGGAATTGGTCAGTTTAGAGGAGAAACTATTAAGAGCCACATGATAGAATGATACAAAATAATGAATGGATCAGAGAAGGTAAAGTTATGAGAGGGTAAAAAGGAGCACTTAATAGAAGAATAAGGGGATGGCCAATGAAACTGAAAAGCAAACAGTTTAAAACTGATGAAAGGAAATACTTGAAATAAATTGCATGTGGAACTTATTGCCACAAAATATTAAGGCCAAGAGTTTAGCAGGATTAAAAAAGAATTGGGTGTTATTTGGATAATGAGAACATTCAGTTACTGTAGACAGGGTAATTTATTGTGTCTTGATATAAATCCTCATACTTTCAGGACATAATCAATGACAAGGGGACAGGGCTCAGTAAGAAACTTTTCTTAATGGGCAGATTAATCCATAACTGTCCCCCATGTAGTTTCTTGCACTTTCCTCCAAAGCATCTTATACTGGCTACTGTCAGTCAGCATACTGGACTATATGGACCATTGGTTTGATCTGGTATGGAGATTCTTATGTTGAAAGCAATGGGGAAAAAAATCCTTGTGTGTTCTTGAAACAGTACCCCAGAGTGCAGCAATTAGACCATCCCACAATATAGAAGATAAGAAATTAGAATACAACATTAAATATAGCTGAGCAACACAACAATAAACTGTATTTGGCATGCAATGCTATAAGTTGTAAACATCTCTAATGTTTTCACTTGTGATCTCCAGCTGCTAAGCTAGTGAAATATAGTTGCTCTGAAGCCTCCATTAAAATCAGGATTGGGGAGAGGGAGAAATATGAAGGGAGCCTATTACATGGAATATTCATTCCTTAAGGGGTTTCCACAGGAACTATCTGTGGATCCAGATAAAACCTCGTTCAACAGAATGGCCAAATCTCCACTGAATAGGTTTCAAAGATGAAAGATTTTGGCACCTTAATATTCTGTTGAATACCATCCTCAATTTGTGCACTTCCTTCCCAAGTCAGACCACATGGAAATTAAAGAATTTACTTACTGAAAACATGTACCAAAATGTGTAAATTTCTTCTTTTTACGTGTCTACTTAAATAACATTTTTTAACAGGCCTATATTTTTCTCTGCCAAACTAGACAGTTCAGTTTTTGCAGGCCAAAAAAAGGAGGCAGAGGCAGCTTTAAAGAGAAGGTATTTTTGGTTCCAAGGAGTGATTTACATCTGCACACAATGAACTTTGAAAATTTTCCAAAAATGAAAGTGTGTAAATCACTCTAGATAAGGACATGAGGAAGGATTGCAGGATTTCCTTAACATTCATTTTGTCACAGGATAAAAAAGACTTGATATAGAAACAGAACAGATTCTAAAAGATTCAAATGCTTCTGAAAAGTAAAGGTTACTTACCTTGAATAGCAACATTCTTTGAGATGTGTCCCCCTGTGGCTGCTCCATGTCATGTGTGCACACCTGTGCACTGCGGATCAGAGATTTTTCTTCAGCAGTGACTGTGGGTCTGCAACTGTGCCCTAGGCACCCTCAAGCTCTCCTACAATGCCATACAGGGCAGGGCGGACCCACCACTAACACTCCAGTTCCTTCTCAATTATGAAAGTCCAATAAGAGACTCCAAGGCAGAGGGGAAGGAGGTTAGGTTGTGGATCACCTACAGGGAAACACATCTCGAAGAACTCCAGTTACCGTACAAGGTGAGTAACTGCTCCTCCTCCTTCGAGTAGTGTTGCTGGGGTGTTCCCCATCAGGAGACTCCTGAGCAGTACCACCATGATGGAGGAGGGTGCTGATGAAGTGGATTTAGTGCAAATTGTAGAACAGCCACATCAGGTCTGGAAGCAATCACAAGAGCATAGTGCTGGAAGAATGAGTGTAACAAAGACCTGGTGGCTGCTTTGCAGATGTCTGGGATAGGTATGTTGCTCAGCAGGGCAACAGAGGAGTAAGCAATAACTCTCAGAGAGGGGAAAACCCCTGAGGCTTTGTAACAGGTTAAGATGCATCTGGCAGCCCATCTGGACAATCTTTGAGTGGAGATTGCCTGTCCTTTAATTCATTCTGCAATTGACATAAAAAGAACCTAGGTTCTTTAGGTGAAGCCCTAAAGAACCTAGTCCTGTCTAGGTAAAATGCAAGAGCTCTTCTTACATCCAGTGTATGAAGGCTCAT